ACCAATCAAATGGAGCTAAATCTCCTGCACATGCAAACGGATCTGATGGTCGAAGCATAAAAGGCCATGGAGATAAGAGAAAACCCAGAGTTGCATCAGAAACGGATTCAGAGAAATTCCTGATTAAAACGCGTCGGAGAACGCGTGCGCACAAAACCCTGAAAGCCTGCAGAATATTCAGGCTTTCAGCGACTTTGATCCCGACAGGTAGAACCACTCCGACGGCCTGATCCAGCCCGACCCGACCCGACCCGGCCCAGTCCGGTCCGGCACATTATGTCAGGAGCTGGGCCCCTCATGCAGCTGTACCGGTACTCATCCATTTTTAAACACCTGCTGACAAAAGCTTTCAGACTCCAGCTCTAATGTAGAAATCCACATTTTTCGCTCTGAGAAAGATACGCACTTCAACCATGTGCGTCTACGTTGGGAGGGGAAAAAAATCACATGCAGCGGTTTAGAAGACCAAAGTCTTTCAAAACCGACCGCTTCCTTACAGTTGCGTGTTCGCTCCTTCACTTTTCCATGAACTTGAGTGTTTTAGGCTGAAGACTCAACAAGGATGCTTTCTAGTCATACCCGCTAGAAACACTGACCTGACCTTGTAATAGAGAAACTCATCCATGTTTTTTTCTTAAGTCGCATTGATTACTGCAACAGTGTCTTCACAGGTCAGCAGCAGCTGATCCAGAACGCTGCAGCTCACGTTCTCACTAAAACCAGGAAGATAGAGCACATCAGCCAGGTCAGAGAATAGACTTTAAAATGATTATTTTATTTACAAATCACTGAATGGCTCAGCACCACAACACAGTAAAGATCTGCTGCTGTGGTAGCAACCTTACAGACCAATCAGATCTTCTGGTTCTGGTTCTGCATCTCCAGAACCAGAACCAAACATTGAGAAGCGCCATTCAGCTATAGGCGTCTTTGGTTCTCCAAACTGGTGGAAAAACCCGTCAAATCTCACCAAAGCAGCGAAGTTTGAAAGCAACCAGCTCAAGAAGGAGCGTTATTTCAGAGGAGGAGAGCCATTAGTGGGAGACGCACCAATCAGAGCTTTGGCGTCAAATGCAACTTCCTAGTTTATCTTCATGTTTAATTTTCACGTAAATTACAGAATCAATAACACAACAAGAAATTAGAACAGCTTTTGTGATTTTTTTTTCCTCTTCTGCTGAGGGGAAGAGGCAATGTCACACAGTGTGTATGAATGAATGAGGAAAGCTGACATTCACTCAGTTCATATGACATTTCTATGTTTCTGAGTCTCTGATGAGGCTGTGGAGCATTTCTTCTTTTTGCTCTGTCCTACACACACTACTACTACACACACACTGATGACTTGATTTAGCTAGTTGTGTTCAGTGCAGTGATCAGTCCAAGAAGCAGGAATCCGACCGTCACCCTTCAACCAGAAAACACGTGCTTTCATCCGCAGCCTCGCAGGAAAACTAAACGCTTTCACAGTAGTTCGACAGCTTTGAAAATATCACAGTTATCATCAGATAATATAATTAGTCTCTAACAGAAGCAGGGAGGCCAGGTAAGCCCTTTATTAGAAGGCCTTTTTCTCTCACTTTCACCCATGAAGGAAAACATGTTGGGCAGACAGTTATTGCCATGGTGATGAACTCTTCTGCCTCGCTCTGGAGTGTTCACCCATGTTTAAAAGAAGTACATGCTAATGTTAGTGTAACAGAGTGCTAAACTTTTGGAGGTAAAATTGACCTCAAAAGGGAAGTAATTCTGCTAAGCTAAGCAGCTGCTGGTTGTATGCATATATCGGTATCAGGATGTCTTCTGCGTTTCCTTTTTCTCGCGGTTTTGCAGTGAAACACTGCAGGTAGCACAAAGTGTTGGATATTAAAAACATCTTTTTTCTGTATCGAAATGGACTTGTGTGGGTTTTCAGCATAAATCTAAAAGTCTAACAAAAGGAGGATGCTGGCAAACCCGAGACGACCAAACCAGCTGTGAAGCCGAAGTGGTTTCAAAGTGAGTTGAGGGCAAAAAAGGCAAGATTTAGGAGGCCATCACAAAGCCCTGCTAAAAAGAACAAAAACAGACTGAGCAAAGTTGAGAAGGTGGCCTTCAAATCGGACTCAATAATATCTGGCTCTTAAGAAGGAATGAGCCAGAGATTCAGCTGCATATTATAGGTTGTAGCTGCTGGTAGGAGGACTTCCTAAACATTTGACCCAAAATAATACAATTTAAAGCCAATTCAAATGCCAATGGATGCAGACTTCTGAGTATCAACAAAATAAATAGTAATAGTAATAATATTAATAATAGAAAATTTTTTGAAAATGCCTTGATGCTAAAACAATAAATATTGTGAAGTTACTACAAATAACTAAATCAACAGAACATCATTTCACTTATTACATTTTTTACAAGCATCCCAAAATACCCAAAACACACAAACAAAAACTTTGTTCTGAAGCTGCAACGTGTCAATCCAAACACACTACAGGAAAACATACAGAAGTAGTTTAGCAGTTTCATATTTTGTCCTGTTACAACCAAATACTTCAATAATTTATTGACATTGTAACTATTTTGTTTGTTCTTGTCACAAATTTTCAACTGGACCTGCTCTTTTTGTCCATTTTTTTAAACCATTCCATTATAATCTCGGCTACATATTTAAAGTTGTTGCCAAGCTGGAAGTTGAAAATTGTGACTTCGTTAACTATCCAAGTCTGATTTAAACTTCCTCAGTTTTATTACTCAACTGTCTGCTGTGTTTCTTGGTCTTCATGTTGCTCTTTGTACGCCTGAAAAATATTCCACGATGTAAACGTTTCATATCAGTCGATATAAAAAAAAATTTTGATTTGCTTTAGATATCTGAAATACTGCCAAACTGGTGACATGACTTTTCCTGTTTCACCCACAGTTTTCACTCTTATTGTTTTATATCAACTAAGTTGATGCTTAGCTGTGAGAGGTTAAGGGGCTAAAGCCTTCCCTCTGCCTACATCCCCCAGAATGCTGTGTGGTTCTGGATCCCAGTAGAGTGAAGCTATTGGATATCAGATGTTTTATCCATTGATGATGATGACGTGTCTATTGGGACATATATTGTTATTGATCTATGGTCCAGCCTTATACCAACGTAACCTGGACTGAACTCAAACACACACCAACCTTGTTGTATTTTCTTTCATTTGGAAGAAAATCTCGACACCACGTAATAATTGTCCTGAAGTTGCACTTCATGACAGTGTGCAGCCGCGTGTGGATCTACAGCCTAAGATGCCAATAAAAACACACTGAAGGTTGCGGTCGTAACGTGACAAAACGTGAAAACGTTCAACTGTAGCAAGGCGCCGCACATCAACACACTCACTCGCCTCATTCCTCTTAACACGTATAATTTCAAAGCCACAATGTTCACTTCCTTTCTTATGGTATCTGCTGTTTCTTCAGAGTGGGGCAATAATTCTAACTTGGTTGATACCAATACCCCCCCCGCCATCCCACCCTCTTGGTTGTTCTAACCACAAAGTCAAGCGAGCCTACGCCAAAGGACGTCAGCGCCAGCAGCCGTCGTCCCTTTTCTCTCTTTGTCTCGCTGCGAACTTCCCTGAAAACACCAGGTTCCTCAGACTATTTGCGAACCAAACTTTGTCTTGCGCCATTTCCCACAACGACGCCGTTTCACATTTGAACCCGACCGCAGTTGAGAGTTTTCCCTGCACATGAATAAAGACTCGTGCGCGTGCACACGCATACACACGCGCACATACACACACACAGACACACACACACACACACACACCCACACACACACACACACAAGGCCCGTGGATCTAAGCATGTGCATCTTGTATGAGGGCACCTGTACCTAAATGAAACACCATATCAATAATTTACCATCTTCGCTCTGTTTTCAGTCTTATGTATGCCTCCTTCAATAAATAACGAAAACAGACAACATTGAGACATGGGAACAACACAGGAAACATCTACAGAATGAGCCTCAGTACGCCTCTCAGACTTTTTAAACTTCAGTAACCTTTTCTCCGCCGTGTGCGCGGTCCTCACAGATCGCAATCCTTTCAGGTATTCTAGTTTGCCCCAAATATTTCACTGGAGAAATTATCTGCATGCTGCCCTAAGCCCCAAAGAGCTTCCCCATTCTATACACAATTGCTTTGGAGAGTTTTTTTCCATTCTTTTATTCACACGTCCTACATTTATTGTGTGCCAAATAATTTAGTTGAACTGCCCAAGGCTTTGACTTTCTCAAGTTGCTTTTAATATCGTTTAGTATCGACTAATGATATAGGTCAGGACTCATTTTTAAAAATATTGAATTAAGCATAAAAACAAGTGCAAAAAAATCATATTTATTCTAATAGTATTTTACTTTGTTTGTCTTTTTAAGATCACTGGTAGTGTGTTGATATTGTTAATATTGTCTTACACATAATTTAGTCACATTCTCAAACTTCCAGTCAACTTTCAACATTTTTCAACATGAAAACACAAAGAGAGCTTATCACCAGTTTTCTGAATTCCTTCATGACAAACTACAAACTGTTTAGCTCAGGCAGCTGTGGTGCGAACATGCGAGACGTTACTTAAGAAAAATAAAATCTTCTGCTGGCTGTATATGCAAGAGGTAAATAAAATTCAAGCTAAGACCAGAACGGTAGTGTTGTGAGATTGTTGCTCAGGTGTCAGTCAAACATGCTGATATTGTTAAGAAGCTACAACAACCGCCCTGCATTTGGTTTTCTCCCAAGTCAGTTTGAACTCAGATGACCTACAGTACAGTAAGTGTATGCTGTCTTTCAGTCAAATATAGGTTTTCCTATCCACAGTCAGTCAGTTTTTTTCTCAACCACCTTGGTGAATATTCCTCTCTAGTAGGAATAAATATGAATGTTTAGGGGCCGTCTGGGAGCTTCCTGGCTGTTTTGTGTGGGTTTCTGTGAGTTCTCTTCGGGTTCTTGTCAAAGTGTGAATCTGAGCCCCAGACTTACTTGCGTGCCTCGTGGCTTGTAGGGCGAGCTGCTCTCCAAGTCTTCCAGGATGCTGGTGAGAGAGTCGATCTCTGCATCCAGGCTGGAGCGCCTCTCCTCCAGAGTTTTCTCAGGTCGTTTCATCTGAGAAAACGCAACACACCCGGCTTTAGAGAATGACTGACACACAGCAGACCAAATGTTGGACTTTTACAATGTCAAAAACAGAGTATGAGCGTATGAACCGCTGATGTGACATCCTTTGTGTATAAAAATATTCCTTATTTACAAAATGTAAACACAAATGGAGCAGTATCAGATTATAGCGAATAGAGTTGAGAGTAGAGTAACTTTTGGAGCGGTCTCTGGTCTGCTTGCATTCAAACCGCACCAGGGTTCACTTCGACCGAACCGAGACTTAGGTCTTTAGGCCGACCAAAGTTCTCTTTTTCAGGGAGAGTTTGATTCCTCTTTCACACCTCTCCAAAGGAGATGGACTTTCTAGAGACTCAAACTAGCAATAAGAATACATCTCTGACCAGAGTTCTCCTATGTGGCTGGCCTTGACTAATGTTGGCTAGCCACATAGCCAACATTACTCCTATTTCTGTCGGATAAACATTCCCCTTCCTCCAGTTCTTCTGGAGGGGTCCTCTGTTAAAAATAAGATGAAGCCTTTTGTCTGCAAATACTTCCATCCAAACATGGCTCTTTTTAGGGTTTTGCTGGTTTCAAACTATGATCCTAGCCACAAGCTGCAGGAGGTAACATGTCTGTGTAAAAAAAAGCTGAGTGCATGCTGAATGCTGGGACACATGGCATGTATAATTAACTCACTAAGCTTTACAAAGAAGAGAATGCTGGGAGGGGGAATCTATATTCAATGTGAAAGGCATATTTACAGTGTTACTTCCATACTTTTGTTCTTTCAACAGCAAGTTACATTATTAAAATGCGCTATTGGCCCTTCAGCTGACACCAGCTTAACATTAGATCTCATTACTAGAGAATGAAATGGATTTTTATTCCAAAACAACTAAAATCTGGCATTATTTAAATCTGGAATGGTGTAAGTCAGACCGCAAAAGAAACCAGTAATTGGTCTTTGCCAAGTAAATTCTGATTGGTGTACGTCTGATTCCTTTCTTTTCTTCGAAACTTTCAAAATCTAAGTCTTTTAACCTGAGCCACAGCTAAAAGAAAAGCTTTTAGCTGAACTGCTCTCTAAAAGTTAATGTCAAAGCCTTCAACAAGCTCAGAGCTCTCTCCTCCTTTCTTTCCCGCCGTCCTTCGACTTTTGGATTACGGTTTTCAAACTTCCCGTTTCACCTTGACCTCACGCGATCCTCCCGAAAGCCGCCCATCAATCGCGGAGACTTCTTGGAGGGAGAGGCAGCGAGAGGAAGAGAAAAGGAAAGAGAGACAGACAGAGTCTTTCGTAAACTTGGTGCACTATTCACCTCAGCTTCTTCCTGCTCTTCCATTAAGAAGCGACACGATCGCCGCGATCCCAGCCGGGGAGGATTCAATCAGAGGCAACAGCAGTCGAGATTAAAGCCGGATATTTTCTAACTAATATTGTCACCTCGTCTCCTCTTAATGGAGACGAGAAGCGCCGTGTTTGTGGGGGAGCTCGGCTTGAAAGCATCACGAATGCTACAACAGCGCCTACTGATTTATTAATCCACACATTTCCTTTTTTTTTTTTGTTTCTTTTTGCCTTAGAGAAATATGCTACCTCATCACATCATACGAGCCCTAAATATTCCAGTAGAAAAAGCACAAATATTGTGACTGCGATATCTGGGAAACACTTAAACTGACGTGACCATTAGTGGCAGGGATTTCTGCTAAATTCCCGGGAATTTCTCCACGAAATTGACAGATGTATTTTTAGGGCCTCTGAACCGCGTTGCCGACTGCAAGACGACTTCTTGCAATTGCCTGCGGGGGCTTTTTGAGTTGCTTGGATCAATGACTGCTTCTCATTCTAATGTTATGTGTTTGGATTACCTGTCACAAGCCATTACGGAGGCAAGGCCTGCCTCCCTTTGGAGCCGAGCGTCTCCCTAAAAACATCTGAGGCAGTCGCGAGCTGGGGGTAAACAAAGAGGCGCGCTAATGGCTCTGAACGAATCAACAAAGGAATCACCTCCCCCCCAAAAAAAATAGATATTCAAAAATAAAACAGTCGCCAAACTTGTTTAGGAGTGAAAATGAGGAGGAAGAGGGGAAGATGTCGCAGTCTTTGAGGGAATTTACAACGCGGATGGCGGCCAAAACGAGAGATTTGTCTTTTTGCGTGTCATAATCCACACACATCTCTCTGCCTGGGTGATGAAGAGTGCTTTTTCTGCCTTCGCCGACATTAAATACAGTTTAATCCACGCGTTACTCATTTAACATATAGGATTTCTCTGCTAGAGCCAAGAGAAAGACGTTCTGAGTGATAGGCGTCGTCTTTTTCCCCCCGCTCGATACAAAGAAAAAATGGAAAGTTGAGGTTTGGTTAGGGGATCTATACTTAGGATAACAGTTCTTTATATGGGAATTAGTCTGCCAGGAAGAATCCTTTTAGGGGTTTCAGAGCAGAAAACAGGAAGTCCAAGATGAACAAAAGAATGAGAAGTTGGTAAATGGCATGCTTTTTTTTTTTTTAATAAAGGCATTCAATGGGATTTTTTTTGGGGGGGTGACAGTTTCAATAAATGTATTTATATGTGTGTATTTTTCCATTTGAGGCTCTGAGAGGAAAGCAGAAGTGAGAAGGCTTTGGGTACTTTGTAACATTGGCATTTCTTCTTACAACAGAAAAAAAGTTGACATTCTGACAGCGAGGTTTTCTGAGCGACAAGGTCTGTCAGGTTGCATTTTTATCCCATTCAACGGTGTAAAGTCACATTTTGGACCCTTATTCAGGCTTTTTTGTCTGACGTGTGTTCAGAACTTGGTCTTCCTTTGCCTTGTTACAAAACCAATGACTGGATCTTAATGGGTTGAGGTCACAGCACCGGTGGCACTTAGTCTGCCATTCCTAAAAGTGGAAATCAGTTTTAGGTGAAAACAAAACAAAAAACCTTGATATGCAGTATTTTTATTTTGACTTGCTTGTAACCTCAAATTTTTCTGTCTTCAGTGTTTTACAGTCACCAATCATAACTCACTTTGATTTCCAGGCACAAAGTGAGTTATGGCTCCCTAAAGAGTCCCTAAAGATTCGTATTAGGGAATCTTTATATATCACCTTGTTTTTCTATGCAAGGTTCTTCAGAGGGACTGTGAACACTTACTATCTTAAATGCCTAAGAAAATGTAAAGCGTGATTTCATCTTACTTACTTCATACTTCCATACTTCATCTTTACCTCTCAGACCTGGCAATATGTTATGATGACTGAAGAGAACTGTGAGAACTCGCCCCACAGCGATTGTGTGGAGTTTTGAGGATTTGCAGAAACGTTCATACAGATTTCTAGTAAAGGAAGCCGGTTTGGTTGGGACCTCCCTGCATTCCTCTGAGCTGGAGCCAAATCTGAAGGCGGCGCAGGGAGGAGGCGGATCTGCCGGTCGGCTCGGCCCCGCGTTGCTCCAGCTGAGCAGAAATCTCCAACTGCACCTTACGTTCCAGTGGACTCAACACATTCTGTTATAATTTGGACAGAAAGCGTTTGGGTCTCTGTTTCTACCCTCGCTGCTTACACCAAACAAAGGAATGTGAAGCACTTGGAGGATCTCTCATCAGAGGTCAAGTGCTGAGAGAGTCGATGAGAGCTGGGAGGCTGCATGCGGGGGGACCGCGGGGGGGGGGGGTAGATGCCTGTGGGTATTATGACTAGCAAGGCAAAGCTAAATGACCGGGCTCCACCATTAGGTGTCAGCCTTCCATCCATCCTGCATTAGAGCGGAGTGTGAGTCCCTAGGTTCTCTGCAGCTGGCCCCAGCTCAAACTGAAAGACAAGTTTTGTGTTGGAGCTCCATGCTGTCTCTGCTTTCTGTGCTGACGCTACGAGAGTCGACGGCCAAGAACATGCAACGCAGCATCTTACCTGATAATCGAACAAGTTATCCGCCGGCGGAGGGGGGAAGGAACCGGGCGGTGACGGGAAACCGGTAAACTCTTCGGCAGGGGGCGGAGGGGGAGGGTAGTCCGCTGGGATGGAGGCGAAAACATACACACACACACACACACACACACACACAGACACACACACACACACACACAACACACACACACACACACACACACACACACACAAAGAAAAAACAAAAACAGTTTAATAACAACTTCCTATTTTTTTCTGCAAACTGTCGCAATTATGTGAGAGTTTCTTCTGAACATAAAACCTAAAGAAAGAACATTCTTGGGGGGCAGGAAAAGTAAAAGGTTATACATCTAAGAAGACTAGTAAGCAACAGGTTGAACACAGAGACTCGTCCTGACCTGAGAGTATTGTTTCTGCCCCCAAATCTGCTTTTGATTAATTTATAAAAACAGTAAAAGTGATTAAAATTTGGTTCTTTTAGTTTTGTTCCCTCCCACCCCCCAACATTTGATAATTGGAGCCGATTTCTGGCGAACGTGACCAATAGTTTGAGTTCAGCTGTGGAATTGTGCAGCTCCTCCAGAGTCACCAAAGGCCCTTTTGGTGAGATTCTCTGAATAACTTTCCTTCAATGCTGAAAACCTTGCATTTTTCTCATCACTTAATGATGTGAAACTCTGTGCTGGTCTATCCTGGTGAAATAACCAAATCTTTCAGGTAGCAACGTGCCAATTTCCACATGCCAGATGTCATTTTCCACATAGTTTCAGACACAAGAACAATCTATCCCTCTCGTTCCAGTAGAGAGGTGCACCGTTGTTTAAATCCATCATCTCTGCAAAGTGCTGAGAAATTAGCACTAACAGCTGAATTAATTGATTCATCTTCATTTGCCTGAACCGTTATCTGTCTCTAGCTGTAAAATCAAATCAGGCATTTTCAAAGAGGTCACGGAGTTATTAGAGAGAGGAGAGTGGTGGAGACAAAAGAAACAGCGCCTCGTTATCCCTCGTCAATCGACTGACACACATAATTGCAGCAATTTGCTTAACTAAGAAGTAATAATCTGCAGTAAGCACGGGTGTCCCACCTCCCCTCCCGTCTCCCCGAGATTGAAAATGTAAAATGTCGTGTTACAAACCGGCACACAAGGTGTCTGCTCCGCTAGAGGATGCGAAACATGCCAAGTGTGCGCTTCTGAAGTCCGTGCTAATCCAAGGATTGCGTCCCGCCACATGTTTCAGACGGGATAAGGAGGTTCGGTGCCAAATTAAATTCTGATTTGGCTCTTCTCGGCGCAACGACTTACACTGAATCATTTGACCGTGTACTTCTAAGTACCAAACCAGACATGAGCTTTGCAAATTAAAGGCTTTTATGGGGGACGTAGTGGGAATTTGTTCCAACGCAGAGACTTTGATGAGTCCTGCTCAGAAATTCCATTTGCTTTTCCGTGGCTTTTATCTGTTTTCATTAGGATCTAATTGATGTCATCAGTGTAGTTTATCCAAGGCAGCTGACCAAATTAATTAAGCGCGGTCTTTGGGCTGCCTCCGCGAGACGCGCAGCAAAGGGGGAAACGGAGGCGGGGAAATAATGCGGCGTGGCGCAAGCCGGACACGTCTGTGTCTTTACACCGAAGGGGAAAAAAATGCGAGCGTTGCATTAAACATTCCCGCCGGGCGTTTGAGGCCGTCCATGTGAATTGTTTATATAATAACCTTGTGACCTCCATAGAAAAAAAAAACAGAGTGTAACAGCTCCTCTGAACCTCTGGGACCGAACAGAAGACAGGCCTCTCCACAACAAGGCACTGCCTCGCCATCCTCCTCCTCTTCCTCATCCTTTTTGAGAGAGTATGTCGCATGTAACTTGTGGCTTAGAGAGAATTAGAGCACTAAGTTCATGTCTATTTCTCTCAGACATCCAACATGTTTAGGACTTATCGTTTCATGGAAACACAAGAGCTGTAAATGTTTCAGAGATGCATGATTTATTGAACAGGTCTTATGGTTTCTGCATGCGGAACAGGAGCTGCTAAGCGTCTTTGCTGAAAGGTTCTTGACCTTCTTTTCCTGCCACCGCTCCACCTCGCCAAGCCAGACATTTAGGACCGGAACGTGCTTGTGCGCCGCAGTGTTTGCGTTCCCTGCAGTCCCTTCGTGTGCAACCGTTTTCTCCCAAATGATTGCACTCGACCTTGGAGCTGTTTGTTGCCTAGTCAGGGTCAGCGAAGAAGCAGTCGCTTTACCAGGAGCCGTTGCCGTTCCCCGGTCAAGTCGCATGTGATGTTACGGCTCATCTCCATAATTGCATGTTTTTTTTTGACGGGATCTGCATGGCTTTGAAATGGAGTTGCGTGAAAACGTCGTGTCGGCATTCAGAGTGCAACAAATGCACCTGCAGCAATCCTAATGCGAGAAGTCAGTTAAGGCCAATTAACTCAGTTGTGCTACATGGGAACAGACTCGTAAATGAATTCTGTCACATTCAATTCGGTGAAATCTACATTTGAAAAACGTCAAAAAGACAGGGGGATTGCAACATTTCAGGTCATTGTATTTTTACTGAGGTGCAAGAACATATTGGCTGATTAACATCTTTATAAAGAAATAAAACCTCTAATACAACCAATTGGAGGTTTTATTTCTAAAGAAAGTTTTTTCTACACGTCAACACATGCATTTTCTGCATTTCATTCAGCGAGAGAGAATAAGGCTCGAAGATAACATGAAGGCTAAACAAAGTGAAGAAAATTTGCTGTACCATGGAACATACTAGATTTGGTCTGAAGCTTCATAGAACTAAATATCCACAAGAGAAAACACTCAGAGGCCACAGTTTTATCATTGCTAGCCAAGGGAATATGTTAACGTATGAGATGGTAAGACAATTTTTAAATGATGACTCTAATACTTCAGGAATTGCTATTCAAATCTTACGATGTTTTCACATTTGTCAGTTGTATTGAGGACCGAAATTGAAACATTTGTTGCACTTTGATCTGGTGCGGTTTCCTTTCACACTGCACTGGGTCAAACAAACTAAACCTGTGAGCAACCTGTTCCCCTCCTCGCCTGTGGTGGGGCTGAAAGTACTGAAGGAAGCAACACAAAAACCTCTGACGAAGAAATGAGCGCAACTTCTTTCTTCACAAAATGTCAATGAAAATGGAGCGGTGTCAAGTTTTAGCTGTTGTAGGATTTCTCTTTTGTCTTTGGTAAAATATCTTGAACCATTTCCTCCCAACGTTTTGGCTGCATTTACCCAGAATGCCCTCTGCTATATAGTCCGCTTCCTGCTTTTGGAGTGGTCTCCGGTCACATATGTATGCGAACCATACCAGAGTTCACTTCTACCAAATTGAGACCTAAGTTTGAAGACATACCGGAGTTCATTTTCTTATATATACTTAAAATGTCTTCATTAAGGGCAAAATGAAATTATAGTCAAATTCCTCATTTGACTGTACAAAAGTGTAAAATAGAGTTGATGCTGAAATTAGAAAGCCTATAGTACTATAATCTTGGTGTCACTGATATTGTACATTCACCTTGAGAAAAAATACTGAGTTTTGCTAAATCACTTTATATGCCTCATTTAAAAGTTATACTGAGCATTGACAAAAAAAAGTCATTTACAGAATAAAAAGTTAACTTTTCAGCCTTTCTTATGATTTGAATCTTCTATGATACCTTCAAAAGTGTCTCTAATGCACCTTATATAATTCAGGCATTCCAAATAGACCCTTTCAAGTAGCTTTATAAATATTTCAAGCACTTTTCATACAGTAGAAAACAAAATTTCTCAGTGTCGCTATTTTCTAGTTGGTTGCAGCTCTCCTAAACACAACCAAGAAAGAAATTTGCGTGCTTGAAGCTCAGCTGGGTCCTTTCATGCATGTTTTCTGCACACAGTGCCTTGGAAAGCTACTCATGCTCATTGAACCTTTTCACATTCTGTCACATATCACCCAAAATCTTCTCAGTGTGTTATTGAGATAGACCTAAACAAACAACCTAATGGTTGGAAAGTGATAGGAAAAAGTGGTTTTCAACATTTCCTACAAATAAAATTGTACAAGACATGCATTTGCATTCAACCTCCCCGAGATGATACTGTCTAGAACCACTTTTCACTGGATATACTTCGGAGAAGTTGTTACGGGAATGCCCCTAAAAGCTTTGCCCATCTACAGACATGAGGTTTTGGATTTAAAGTCCTGCAACTTCTGCCAAAGACTTCTAACTGGATTTAGGTTTAAACTTTAACTGGGTCATTCGAACACCTAATAAAGCTTTGATCCATGTAGCGTCAGATGTATGTTTAGGGCTGTTTCTTTCGAGTATGAAGGAAAACGACGGAAAATTGAACCGCCAGTTTCATTCACCAGGCTTTTTCAGCTTGTAATTCAGGGTTAGTCAAACTCCAGTCCTCCAGGGCTAGTATATGGAACCACTTTGACACAACTGCATCAAATAATTGGTCATTTGCGGGACTGCAGAAGTTCACTGAATGGTAAACTTCTAGGTGAATTCTTAAGGCAATTGTTGCACCAGATTTTATTAAAAAAGATAGATACACACAAAAGAAGGGCAAAATATGTAGTTTTACTTCCACTTGTAAATTATAATAATTGAAAAATCATGAAACATCTCATGAAATATTCTGTTCTTTTTGTAAGAGATGTACATGTAACCTCATGATTTACTTCTGAAATAGAAAGTATGTTAAAGTCCACGTAAATACTTTTATTTTATTCATCTATCGAAATATATCAACATAAATGTGTACAGTAACTGAAGAAAAGGTTACGACAACTCGGGCCACAGCAGATGGTGTTACCCCTTTGGTTGAAACAACTTCAGTGGAAATCTTACTCTGTCAATATATCAGTGTCTCGCAACAGTTTCTTGCACTCTTGGACTTTCCATTTGTGAACTCTCAGCCAGTCCTTGGTAGATTTACTGGAATGTTTTGGATCATCATTGTGACGTGAAGCTGAAGGAATTCAAGATTAATGGATGCAAGTCTCATGATGACCATTTAAGGTTTTCTGAAACTTCCTTCAGCATCTGGGCTGCTTTGAGAGTAAACCTGCTTGGAC